TGGATATTTCCTGAAAGTAATCTGAAGTTTCTGTACATTTTTATGTATTTTTTTATTTGAAAGATTTCCTAATCTCTACATCCTGGAGGAGATGACCTTCACAAGTTTGAGAAGTGCCCGTGTTTTTTTTTTTTTTTAATTTTTTTGACAAGCAGAGTGGACAGTAAGAGAGACAGAGAGAAAGTTCTTCCTTTTCCGTTGGTTCACCCCCCAGTGCCTCTGTGGCCAGCGCAGCTGATCCAAAGACAAGAGCCAGGTGCTTCTCCTGGTCTCCCATGTCTGTGCTGGGCCCAAGCACTTGAGCCATCCTCCACTGCACTCCTGGGCCACAGCAGAGAGCTGGACAGGAAGAGGAGTGACCGGGACAGAATCCGGCACCCAGACCTGGACTAAAACCCTGGTTGTAGGTGCCGCAGGTGGAGGATTAGCCTAGTGAGCTGCGGCGCCGGCCTGAAGTTTCTCTATTGCAGGTTTTAGAATTTTTTTTTAATTTTTTACATTGAAAATTTGACTCCATCAAAGGGATCACACAAACAAGACTAGTGTCTGCGAATACTAACTGATAGAATAAAAAAAGGGAGAGAATGATCTAACATGGGAAGCAGGATACACAGCAGACTCATAGAATGGCAGTTATCCTAAACAGCACTCCGGCCTCAGAATCAGCCATTAAGGCATTAAGTCTGGCTGAAGAGCCCATGAGAGTATTTTAGGCATGGAAAGCCAAGACACTCTGGCAAAAAAAAAAAAAAAAACCCTAAATGAAAGATCTCTGCAAGTGAGATCCCAATAGAAAGAGCAGACCATCAAAGAAGGAGGTACCTTTCTCTGAAGGGAGGAGAGAACTTCCACTTTGACTATGACCTTGTCTAAATAAGATAAGAGTCGGTGAACTCAAAAGGCTTCCATAGCCTTGGCAACTCATGACAAGAGCTTAGGGTGATTATTGATGCCATAAACAAGAGTGTCAATTTTTTAAGTCAACAACAGGAGTCACTGTGTACTTGCTGCTCATGTGGGATCTCTGTCCTTAATGTGTTGTACAATGTGAATTAATGCTATTACTAGTACTCAAACAGTATTTTACACTTCATGTTCTGTGTGGGTGCAAACTGATGAAATCTTTACTTAATATATACTAAATCGATCTTCTGTATATAAAGATATTTGAAAATAAATCTTGATGTGAATGGAAGGGGAGAGGGAGCGGGTGATGGGAGGGTTGCAGGTGGGAGGGAAGTTATGGGAGGGGAAGCCATTGTAATCTATAAACTACTTTGGAAAATTATATTTACTAAATAAAAGTGTTTTTAATTAAAAAAAGAAAATTTGACTCCAGTGTGTTGTGGTGAATATTTTTTCTGGTCAAGTCTATAAGGAGCTCAATGTTCCTAGTATAGTTGATTGTCCCTTTCTCCAAATTGGGGAAGGTTTCTGTAATTGTTTCAGTGAATCAGCTTTCTAATCCATTTTCTCTTTGCATACCTTCAGGAAATTCTAAGACCCAACATGGGGTCATTTGATAGTATCCCATACATCTACACTACTTTTTTTTATTTTAAAGCTTTTATTTAATGGATGCAATTTTCATAGGTACAACTTTAAGATTATAGTGGTTCCCCTCCCATACACACTCTCCCTTTCCAACTTCCATCCTAGCTCCTACTCCCTCTCACATCCCATTCTTTAGAATTCATTTTTAATTAATTTTATATACAGAAGAGCAACTCTATACTAAGTACAGATCTCAACAGTTTGCACCCATACACACATACAATGTAAAAGTACTGTTTGAAAACAACAATTTTGCAGTTAATTCTGATAGTACAACTCATTCAGGACAGAGGTCCTACATGGGGAGTAAGTGCACAGTGACTCCTGTTGTTGATTTAACAATTGACACTCTTATTTATGATATCAATGATCACCTGAGGCTCTTGTCATGAGCTGCCAAGACTATGGAAGCCTTTGTGACTACAAACGCCGTCAGTATTTAGACAAGGCCATAGTCAAATTGGAAGTTCTCTCCTCCCTTCACAAAAAAGTATATCCTTTTTTGATGGCCTCTTCTTTCCAGTGGGGTCTCATTCACAGAGATCCTTCATTTAGGATATTTTTGCCACAGTGTCTTAGCTTTCCATGCCTGCATTGCTTTCATGGGCTTTCAGCCATATGAAATACCTTAAGGGCTGATTCTGAGGTTAGAGTCTTACTTTAAGTCTGCTGTCCAACACTCTTTTTTTATTTTTTTTTATCTTTTATTTAATGAATATAAATTTCCAAAGTACGACTCATGGGTTACAATGGCTTCCCCCCCCATACCGTCCCTCCCACCCACAACCCTCCCCTTTCCCACTCCCTCTCCCCTTCCATTCACATCAAGATTCATTTTCAATTATCTTAATATACAGAAGATCAGCTTAGTATACCTTAAGTAAGGATTTCAACAGTTTGCTCCCACACAGAAACATAAAGTGAAAAATAATAGATGATTTTTTTAAATGATGATGAAATCAGATCAGACCTATTGTCATGTTTAATCCCAGGGAGAGTCAAGTTGGGAATTGATAATTTCTTTTTTTTTTTAACAGAAGATCAGTTTAGTGTACATTAAGTAAAGATTTCAATCGTTTGCACCCCCATAGAAACACAAAGTGAAATATACTGTTTGAGTACTCGTTATAGCATTAAGCCTCAGTGTACAGCACATTAAGGACAGAGATCCTACATGAGGAGTAAGTGCACAGTGAATCCTGTTGTTGACTTTACAAATTGACACTCCTGTTTATGGCATCAGTAATCTCCCTATGCACCAGTCATGAGTTTCCAAGGCTATGGAAGCCCCTTGAGTTCTCCGACTCTTATCTTGTTTAGACACAGTCATAGTCAAAGTGGAGGTTCTCTCCTCCCTTCAGAGAAAGGTACCTCCTTCTTTGAAGACCTGTTCTTTCCACTGGGATCTCACTCACAGAGATCTTTTTGCCAGAGTGTCTTGGCTTTCCATGCCTGAAATACTCTCATGGGCTTTTCAGCCAGATCCGAGTGCCTTTAGGGCTGATTCTGAGGCCAGAGTGCTATTTAGGACATCCACCATTCTATGAGTCTGCTGAGTATCTCACTTCCCATGTTGGATCACTCTCCCCTTTATTTATTCTATCGGTTAGTGTTAGCAGGTACTAGACTTGTTTATGTGCTCCCTTTGACTCTTAGTCCTTTCATTATGATCTTTCAGCCATATGAAATAACTTAAGGGCTGATTCTGAGGTTAGAGTGTTACTTTAAGTCTGCTGTCCAACACTCTTTTTAATATTTCTAATTTCTCCCTTTTTTGTATGACTAAAAAACTTCCAAAGACTTGTCTTCTAGCTCAGATATTCTTGTCTACCTTATCAAATCTATTGTTAAGGCTTTCCACTGTATTTTTTATTTGACTTACTGAATTTTCATTTGTAAATTTTCATTTTCATTTTGCATCAAAATCTCAAGTTGTCATTCATGAATTTGCTTCTCATTGTTTCTGTGTAATCTTATAATTAAGCTTTTGAATTCCATTTCAGGCATTTCAACAATCTTCTCATCTTCACATTCTAATATTGAAACATTGCTGTCTTCCTTTGTGGTCTGGCATGTTTCTTCCTTATTCTTGTTTCTTGAATTTCTGCATTTATTTTTAGGCATTTGTGAAAATACATGATTTTTTTCCTCTGATGGCTTTTGTTTTTGGACTAAGTCTCTTTGGCTTAGTGAAGTGTCTGCTCTTTCAGGAATACCAAGAGGCATGTGCTGGTTGTGTCCAGCGCTCCAGGCCAGACTCACACCAAGCTATTCTCCCAGCTCTATTGCCAGTAGCACATGCTTCTGCTCTCTGAAATAACCTAACTCTCCAACGCTAACACTCTCAGGATGTTGGCTTCTGGGGTCTTGTGTTATGTCCCTGCTTGTGTTGTGTGTCTGTACCCTTTAAGTAGGTCCACAGCATCCCACTTCCTCCTGTAGAATTTGCACTGCAACAGTATCCCTATCTCTCCCCTGAGAAAGTACTCTCTGAGGTTTCACCTCACCCCGGTTAGAATGGCTCACATACAGAAATCTACCAACAACAGATGCTGGCGAGGATGTGGGGAAAAAGGGACACTAGCCCACTGTTGGTGGGAATGCAAACTGGTCAAGCCACTATGGAAATCAGTCTGGAGATTCCTCAGAAACCTGAATATAACCCTACCGTTCGACCCAGCCATCCCACTCCTTGGAATTTACCCAAAGGAGTTTAAATTGATAAAAAAAAAAAAAAAGCGGTCTGCACCCTAATGTTTATTGCAGCACAATTCACAATAGCCAAGACCTGGAACCAACCTAAATGCCCATCAATGGTAGACTGGATAAAGAAATTATGGGATATGTATTCTTTAGAATACTATACCGCAGTAAGAAACAACGAAATCCAGTCATTTGCAACAAAATGGAGGAATCTGGAACACATCATGCTGAGTGAAGTAAGCCAGTCCCAAAGGGACAAATACCATATGTTCTCCCTGATCGGTGACAACTGACTGAACACCAAAAAGGAAACCTCCTGAAGTGAAATGGACACTATGAGAAATGGTGACTTGATCAGCATAGCCCTGACTGCTAATGGACAACTTAATACATTATCCCTCATAGTATTTTTTTTGTCTGTTCTACTTAATATGACTGGTTTAATTCTGTAATTATCACACAGTTATTCTTAAGTGTTGAAAATTAACTGAAATGTGATCCCTCTCTACTTTTTTTTAGAAAACTATCTTCCCCTAGCCTAGAGCAGTAACCCATAAAGGGGGTTTTAAAGGCACTACATTATTCTCATTATATCTGAGAAGAACTCTTTGGAAGGATTAAGGGATAGAATAGTTTCCCAGGCAACAGATGTTCTAAAGAGTAGCTCTTAAGACTCTCACTTTCTATGATTTGAAACTAAAATTTGTAAACCTGATTGTGCATTCTAATGTTATAAAGTAACTTATAAATTTAACCTCCTCTGAAGAACTTTCAGGTTTCTTAAAAATTTGTTTATTCTGAAGGGCAGATTACAGAAAAGAGAGAGATAAATCTTCCATCTGGTGATTCCCTCTGAAGATTTCTGCAATGGCCCAGTGCTGGTTCAGGCCAAAGCAAGGAGCTTCATCTGGGCGTCCAGGTGGGTGGCAGGGGACCAAACACTTAGACCATCTTCCACTGATTTTCCCAGGTTAGAAATGCAGAAGCCAGAACATGAACTGGCACCCATAGTGGATGTTGCTGTTACATGTGGTGATTATACTCATTATAACACCATGCCGACTCCAGTTCATGTCTTTTTCTTTTTAAAGATTTATTTTATTTATTTGAAAGACAGGGTTACAGAGAGAGGTAGAGACACAGAGAGGTCTTCCATTTGCTGGCTTATGCCCTAGATGGCTGCAATGGCTGGAGCTTTGCCAATCCAAAGCCAGGAGCCAGGAGCTTCTTCCCAGTCTCCCATGTGGGTGCAGGGGCTCCAGGACTTGGGACATCTACTGCTTTCCCAGGCCATAGCATAGAGCTGCATCCCAAGAGGAGCCTCTGCCTGTGGTGCTGGTGTCCCATATGGGTATTGATTTGAATCATGGCTGCTTCACTTCTTATCCAGCTCCCTTCTAATGGCCTGAGAAATCAGTGGAAGGTGGCTCAAGTCCTTGGGTCCCTGCACCTACATGGGTGACCTGAAAGAAGCTCCTGGCTCCTGGCTTCAAATTGGCCCACCTATGGCTATTGTGGCCATTTGGGCATGAACCAGTGGATTGAAGATCACTCTTTCTCTTTCTCTCCCTGTCTCTGTAACTCTCTCAAATAAATAAATGAATGTTTAGAAAAGAAATACTTTAACCTTACAAATATAATATGAATAATCTTTCAGTAGTATTTTAAAAACTAGATGAAGTTTACAATTTCTCAGTAAAAGTTAATAAACTCCCAAAGTTTCCCAAAAGGGAATGAAAAATTCCAATTTTTATAGAAAACATATTTAATAACTATAAATTTTGAAAGTATGAATTTTGGATCATAATGGTTCTTCCCCCCATATCCACCCTCCCACCCCCAAACCATTCCATCTCCTTCTCCCTCTCCCATCCCATTCTTCATTAAGATTCATATTTAATTATCTTTATATACAGCAGACTAACTCTATACTAAGTAAAGATTTCAACAGTTTGCATCCACACAGACACATAAGGTACTGTTTGAGAACTAGTTTTACTGTTAGTTCTCATAGTACAACAAGTTAAGGACAGAGATACTGTTTGGGGAGTAAGTGCTCAGTGACTCCTATTGTTGATTTAACAATTGACACTCTTATTTCTGTCAGTAATCACCCGAGGCTCTTGTCATGAGTTGCCAAGGCTATGGAAGCCTCTTGAGTTTGCCAACTCCAATCTTATTTAGACAAGGTCATAGTCAAAGTGGAAGTTCTCTCCTCCCTTCAGAGAAAGGTACCTCCTTCTTTGATGGCCTATTCTTTCCCCGAGGATCTCACTCACAGAGATCTTCATTTAGGTCATTTTTTGCCACAGTGTCTTGGCTTGCCATGCCTGAATACACTCATGGGCTTTCAGCCTCACTCTCTCAATGGTGGAGTGAGTGATTGACTATAATGAGAGGACAGTCTGTCTGCTCTCTTCTTGTCCTTCAATCTCCTTATTCTTTAAAAAAAAAGTTATTGGGGCAGGCACTGTGATGTAGCAGGTAAAGCTACTGCCTGCACTGCTGACATCCCATATGGATGTCAGTTCATGTACTGCCTGATCCACTTCAATCCAGCTCTCTGCTGTGGCCTGGGACAGCAGTAGAAGATGGCCCAGGTCCTTGGGCTCCTGCACCTGCATGGGAGTCCTGGCTCTGGCTTTGGATCAGCGTCCGCATGGGAGACCCGAAGGAAGTTCATGGCTCCTGGCTTCAGATCAGTGCAGCTCCAGCCATTGTAATCAATTGGAGAGTGAGCCAGCAGATAGAAGACCTTTCTCTCTGCCTCTCCTTCTCTCCCTGTATAGCTCTGACTTTCAAATAAATAACTGAATCTTTAAAAAAGTTCTTAAATTTTATTCAAAAGTCTGAGTTAATGAGAAAGAGGGAGAGACAGAGAAGGAGAGTTCTACTGTCAATTCACTCCTGTGCTGTCTGTAGTGGCCAGCACTGGGCCAGACAAATGCCAGGGACTTCATCTGAGTCTCACATGTGGGTGACAGGGGCTGAAACACTTGGGTCATCTTTCACTGCTTTTTCCAGGCCACTACTAGGGAGCTTAATTGGAAGTGTCACAGCTGGCACAGAGACTGGTGCCCATTTGAATGTTGGCATCACGGGCAGCAACTTTACCCACTGCACCACAATTGCAGCCTCAGTCTCCTTGTTCTTAAGCAGAGTAGTCTCCTGTGCCTTAGCAAAGGGCTCTCTCCAAGCCTATGCACTGCAACAGGTGCAGTTAGGTAAGCTTTTCTGCATGTGCTGCCCTACTTTCTGCAAAGTACAGTGGTATGTGAGAACTGTTTATATCTTCTAAAATCATCTAGAAATAAAATAAAAGAATTTCCCAAAAAGAAGATGTGTTACTGAATAAAGCTAATACATGTCTTCATACCACCACCTGTGCAAAATCTAATGCTCAATAGATTTTTATGATGGATGTAGCCCAGGTGCACATTAATGGTTCACATGTACAATTTCAAGGTGTGGACCATATCTTTTTCTACACATAATTACAAAATATTTCAAAAGTGGAATTAACCTCTTTCCAACCCTCTTTAACATATTTTCCTTCCATAGCAAAATATCATAAATATTTCTCTATGTAAAGAGTTATATGATGATTTCAGGCCTACAGAGTAGTATATCCTGTAGGTCTAGTAAAATTTGATACATACATCATTTTTTCAAGGATGCCAATTTTTGGATTGGCTTCTCCTTGCAGGTTACATGAAATAGGAGCAGAGTATATATTTTAAAAAAAATTAAGTCTAATGTTGCATAATGTTATAAATTGTTAAATCTATGTGAATTTACTGAACTCTATAGATCTTCTGTATTGTTTGAAATAGTTAAATAAAAAGACAAAAAATTCTGAGGGATAAAGAAAAGTTGATAGAGTTGAATGTAACCACACTGGTTAGTCACAGGCAATTTTTATGTGACATAAAAAGGCTTTCAGAGGGTAAAGTTGGATAAGTGAAATTAATGTAGCCTATAAAACTCATGATAATGTGAACTAAAACTGCCTCATTCATCCATCATTCCACTTTGTACTTACATATAATTAATATCTAATAAAAATCTTACATTAAAAATTAAAAAAAAAATTAAGTCTAGGAAAACATACAACTAAATCTTTTTTAAGAAGATTTATTTATTTTATTTGAAAGGCAGAGTTACAGAAAGGCAGAGGCAGAGGCAGTATGAGTGTGTGTGTGTGTGTGTGTGTGAGAGAGAGAGAGAGAGAGAGAGTTAGTTAACCATCTGCTGGTTAACTCCCCAAATGGCCAAAATAGCTGGAGTTGTGCTGATCCAAAGCCAGGAGCTAGGTGATTGTTCTGGGTCTCCCACACAGGTGCAGGGGCCCACACACTTGAGTCATCTTCTACTACTTTTCCAGGCCATAGCAGGGACCTTGATCGAAGATGGAGCAGCTGAGTCTCAAACCAGCACCCATATAGGATGCTGGCAGTATAGCCGGCAGTTTTACTCGCTACACCACAGCGCTGGCCCTGAGTATATAGATCTTGATGGAAGATACATATTAGTATATAGATCTTTTCATCATCACTAAAGCAAACATATCCTGAGAAATGCAATGTGTGGATGTAAGGCAATGCATATGATAATGGTTGTTAGGTGCAATGTTCATAGAACCCTCTGGAAATATACTAATTGATACTACCTGGGGATAACAATGCTATTCCCTTCACATTGATCTTTTTATACAATGTCCTGACTTGACATGCAAATGGTATCTCCTTGATGATATATTATTTAGTATTGTTAGTTGGGTTGTTAGTGTTTATGCATTATCTGAAGAATATATTCTTCCGTGCATTACCTCGCATCATTTTTCACATTTACCACAGGCCTGTACGTATTTTTAAATGAAAACATACATTTATTTTGTTTTCCGTGTGGAATTCATTTTCCTGCCTTTGTGGTGCAAGTAGTAGGCACAGGGCAACTAAATCCAAATTGATAGATTTGTAGAGGAAAACCACCACGATCCTACTGTTGAGGTGCACCCAACACAGTCTTTTGTCAGAGGTGTCCTGCTCAGCTTCACCTCTTCAGGGGCCCCGCAGCGGTGCCGAGGAGCCCCCTGAGTGAAATGGGACAAATGTCGCCAGCTGAGGGCAACGTTCCTGCGGTTCTGACCTCTGCCTCAGCCAGGCCTGTCCCCGCCTTTCTGCCTTTCCGTCGGGGTCAGTGCCGTCCACAGCCGCCAGAGGGCGCCCATGGTGCTGGGTTGGAATCTGGCCCCGCGACTGCGTGAAGGCGCCCAAAGGGGCCCCCCAGGGACTCTTTGCTGAGGAGCCTCTCAAGTTGGCGCCTCCCTGTCATGCTGGGAGTTTGCAGATATCCACACACCGGCCATCAGTAGCTCCTCGTTTGGGTCTTCAGCCAATGCCAGAAGGCCTGGGAGGTGCTGAAGTCTTCTCATGAGAGAGAAGGGAGGCAGGAAATGAATCCAAAGCAGTTGGCTGAGGCGCTGGGAAATGGCGGCGCTGCCCCATTGGTCTCCTCTGGTCTCCAGGCTGCATCATGGGGTCCTGGGTCCTAGCCGGGCTGGCCCAGCCGCGGGGAGGGAGCTGTGTTTGCCTCACCGCCGCCTCTCAGTTCCTGAGACCTGTATCAGTCATTTGATAATGTCCCATAAGTTTCCAACACTTAATTTTTCCATTTTATTCCTTTTTTTTCCTCACCGAAAAATTTCAAAGTTTTGTGTTCCAGATCAGGTGTACTTTCTACTTCTTCATCAAGATTATTTTTAAGGCATTTTACCGTATTTTTTGTTATAATTAATTCGTTTGATGGGTGAGTGTTGTGGCGTAGTGAGATAAGCCACTGTATGTGACATGAGAGTCTCATGTGGGTGCCACTCTAAGTCTCAGTTGTTCCACTTTCCATCCAGCAGATGGAAGATCATTCCCTTGCTCTCTATGTCTGCCTTTCAAATAAATAAACAAATAATTTTTAAGACATACATTACTTTCATGAAAATAGCTAAACTTTTGTATCCATATCTGACCACATGATTACAAGACAAAATTGACAGACTGTTTCCTTTCCTGAATGAAATTCACATATCCTATTCCATCTCCAGATATGTTCTATAAATAGTGTATACCATGACCAAATTAGGTTCATGTAGTCTACATCAGTGAACTTACTTCCTAAATGAACAGAACCACTTCAGTCATGGAAAAACATGACATGCATGTATTTAGCAGATGCTTAAATCAAGTTAACATTTTTATCTCCTTACACATGTTTTAGAAAGATTTTTTACATTTACTTATGTGAGAGGCAGAGTTACAGACAGAAAGAGGAAGAAACAGGGACAACGGTCTTCCATCCACGATTCCACCCCCAAATGGTTGCAGTAGTTGCAGCAAAGCAGATTCGAAGTCAGAAGCTGGAGCTTCCCTGAGTCTCCCACACAAGCTCAGGGGCACAAGCACTTGGGCCATCCTCCACTGCCTTCCCAGGCTGTAAGCAAGGATCTAGAATGGAAGAGGAGCAGCTGGAGCAAGAGTGGGTGACCATATGGAGTGCTGGTGCCACAGGAGGAGAACTAGCCCACTATGCCACAGTGCCAACCCCTTTGAAACACATATATTAAGTTCTGATGAACACTTAGTAATCGTGCTGTGATATTTCAGTCGATGTGTAGAGTGTGTACAGAGGACATCAGAAACTATGGAAACGGATATTAATGATGAGTGTATCTGGGTGCAAAGTATTTTGAAATCTGTGAGTAATTTTTCATAATACCTAGTATCCATGAATTTTCTGAATAATCCCTATGTGCATGCAGTTCATCCTCTCCCTTCCAAGCATTTGCTCAGTGCATCGTGTGCATTCAGATCAACTCTACAGTTTCTAACATTAGCAAGAACAGGTGATACTCACTCTCTGATTTAGAATTACTTGTATTCAACTGAATAGATAATATTTTTATTCATTGTATTAGTGATCTAAATCATGTTTTCACGACATTATCTTTTCACTTTTATGGAAGTTGTTGAATTCTGTTATGTATTTTGTGTCTATCCTACATCTCTATTTGCACTAGACACTATTCAAATGCTCAGTAATGGCATTGCCTAGGTGATGGAAAACGTTTGGCTTAAAATTATTAGACGTGTCATTTACAGCAGTTTGAGTTGAGAAAAATTGTGACTAGAATAGTCACATATTCCCTCCTGTCTCCCTCTTTGTTAGATTGTTCTCCATTAGCAACATCTCATACTGGTATGCTAGGTAGCATAAATGATTAATCAATATTGATTATTGTTTTTGCCTACAGAACATAGTATACATTGTGTTCGCCACAGGTTTTGAGAAAGGTTTCACAGTATGTAGCTGCCATGCTTATGTCCTACATAGTAGTACTGAAAATTGCTTGCATTAAAGAATGAAGGTATCCTCAGGCACCATTCTGCCCTTGGTATTTATGGTGGTGGGAATAAAGTCACTTCTAGAGGTCATTTTTTGCTTTCCATTAAAAAGGGAGAGTTCCTCAAGTAGTCCATAGTTCTTATAAGAGCATAAATCAAGACTGTAGGTGCAAGAATGAATGTTAGCATGGGTAACAGCAGTTTGGAAACTTTTCATGTTTTAGAACTGAAGGAGCAATGATTTGACATATTGATTGGGAACCTCAGAATTCAGGGTGATTACTGGTTCCACAGTAATTAAAACCCACACACACTTGTTTTTTTTTAGTTTTTATTTAATGAATACATTTTTACATAGATACAGCTTAAGGAATATAGTGGTTCTTTCCCCCATACCTCCTCCCCCACAGCTCCCATCCCATCTCCCTCTGCCACTTCCATCTCCTTCTTCATTATGGTGCATTTTTGTATGACTTTATATACAGAGGACCAACTCCATGCTAATCACAGACTTCAACAATTTGCACCCACACTCACACACAACATATAGAATACAGTTTGGGGACGAGTACTCAATCAGTATATTTCACTTTGTGTTTCTACGGGGGTGCAAACTGTTGAAATCTTTACTTAATGTATACTAAACTGATCTTCTGTAAAAAAAAAAAAGAAAAAGAAATTATCATTTCCCAACTTGACTCTCACTGGGATTAAACATGACAATAGGTCTGATCTGATTTCATCATCATTTAAAAAATCATCTATTATTTTCACTTTATGTTTCTGTGTGGGAGCAAACTGTCGAAATCTTTACTTAATGTATGCTAAACTGATCTTCTGTATATAAAGAGAAATGAAATGAATCTTGATGTGAATGGAAGGGGAGAGGGAGTGGGAAAGGGGAGGGTTGGGGGTGGGAGGGACATTATGGGGGGGAAGCCATTGTAATCCATAAGCCGTACTTTGGAAATTTATATTCATTAAATAAAAATTTTTAAAAAATGCAAAAAAAATTATAATACAGTTTGGGGAGAGAATTTGCAGTCAATTCCCATATTATACTTCAATAGGAACGGGGGTCCTACATGGGGAGCAAGTGCACAGTAACTACCTTTCCTTAAAAAAATAACACTCTTTGATCCAACATGGGAAGCGAGATACTCAGCAGACTCATAGAATGGCGGATGTCCTAAACAGCACTCTGGCCTCAGAATCAGCCCTAAAGGCATTCCGATCTGGCTGAAAAGCCCATGAGAGTATTTCAGGCATGGAAAGCCAAGACACTCTGGCAAAAAAAAAAAAAAAAAAAAAAAAAAAACCTAAATGAAAGATCTCTGTGGGTGAGATCCCAGTAGAAAGAACAGGTCTTCAAAGAAGGAGGTACCTTTCTCTGAAGGGAGGAGAGCACCTCCACTTTGACTATGACCTTGTCTACACAAGATAAGAGTCAGAGAACTCAAGGGGCTTCCATAGCCTTGGAAACTCATGACTGGAGCATAGGGAGATTACTGATGCCATAGACAGGAGTGTCAATTTGTAAAGTCAACAACAGGAGTCACTGTGCACTTACTCCTCATGTAGGATCTCTGTCCTTAATGTGCTGTACACTGAGGCTTAATGCTATAACGAGTACTCAAACAGTATATTTCACTTTGTGTTTCTATGGGGGTGCAAACGGTTGAAATCTTTACTTAATGTATACTAAACTGATCTTCTGTTAAAAAAAAGAAGAAATTAGCAATTCCCAACTTGACTCTCACTGGGATTAAACATGACAATAGGTCTGATCTGATTTCATCATCATTTAAAAAATCATCTATTATTTTTCACTTTATGTTTCTGTGTGGGAGCAAACTGTTGAAATCTTTACTTAACGTATGCTAAACTGATCTTCTGTATATAAAGAGAATTGAAAATGAATCCTCATGTGAATGGAAGGGGAGAGGGAGTGGGAACGGGGAGGGTTACATGTGGGAGGGACGTTATGGGGAGAAGCCAATGTAATCCATAAGCCGTACTTTGGAAATTTATATTCATTAAATAAAAGTTAAAAAAAAGAAAAAAATAACACTCTTTTTATGACATCAGTGATCATCTGAGGCTCTTGCCATGGGCTGCCAAGGCTATGGAAGCCTTTTGTGATCATAGACTCCATTTGTCTTTGGAAACGGCCATAAGCACAGTGGATGTTCTCTCCTCCCTTCAGAGAAGAATGTCTCCTTCTTTGACAACACTATCTTTCCTATGAGGTCTCACAGAGATCCTCCATGCAGGATATTTTTTGTCATAGAGTCTTGGCTTTTCATGCCTCAAATGCTCTCGCAGGCCTTTCAGCCTGACCAGGAAGCCTTAAAGGTTAATTCTGATGTCAGAGTGTTATTCACTGCGAATGTCATCCTAGGACTCTGCTGACCCACACGTACTTGTATCTCTGTAAACAGGATTGGTTTGGGTCTGCGTACATTAAGGCTGTGTATGCTGCCATGAACCCTGGGTGTGGGAGGATGCTGCCTTCCTCTTTGGGCCTTTGGAGTGTGTGATACTGGATTTTTCTTGTCTGAATCCTGAGATGGGCCATCACAGACCTTCACCTCATGCCTCCCATAGTGTTTCTGTGGTAATCCACATGCACAATTGGAAAAAGTTTTCATGGAGAGTTTATTGTCAATGCCTTTGGACCACATGTAACTAGTAGGAGTTCCTCACTTGGGTCTTTGTATTCATGAACTTGTAGGTAATTATGCCCCTGAGGGTGAAGAGGATGTTTTCCAAACATATTTTCCTTAATTTTCAGCTGGACAGCAGACCTCAGCTGCATAGCCTCAGGGCAGAAAGTGTTCCAGAAACCCCGTGGATGGATGGACAGCTTGTTGAAAGAAGTCAGGTGGAGCCATATTAAAGTAGCTTTGATTCAGTCACAAACACATATGATGAGAGCATACTCCACACAGGCACACACACCCAGACATATGCTGCATGTATACTCCTGCCTAGTGCTGCATGTTCCACTGCCATTGTGTCCTAGGGATTTTCACAAACTTCTAAGATGTTTGCTTTGATTTTTCTGTTGCTCTTTCTGCAGGTATTTTTCCTTGCGACTTATCATGATGATCCCAACTGCTTTCTCAAGGTGGAATGCAATTTTTACAAGGATGGGGATACTGTGATTGCTGCATTTTTCCCCATTTACACATATCTCACTGATACATTCATGAATGTTTTCAAAAAGAATCTCATATGTGAAGGGTAAGTTCTCTTGGTTTTAATCATTTTTCCTTGATTTACATATTAGCTTTTTATATGGTCTGCAGATGGTTGGAAAAATGTGCTCTGTGTCCCTGCCTTGTCCATCTTTTGTCCCTCCTAGAAACTGCTGATAATTAATTTGGGGAATGATGAAGACATTTTCTTTTTTCCTGGCACCTGAATGGTTCAGGAAAAGGTTGTCTCATCAGAGGAGGAGAGGAGAGTCTCGTTGGTGTTCTTCCTGTCCCCCCGTCCATGTTCATCAGCTCAGGGACCTATTGTGCTCATCAGAAGACTTTCATAACCAGTGCACTGAAATGAATGAGAAACCTGGGTTACCATGAGCTCTTCCACATGTGCTCACAAACTTTTCTGCTATGTACTAGATTTGGGGCCATGAGAATGCTTTATTTCTCCTACAGTCCTGAAGAAGAAAGAATACATAAGAAAGTAAAATTTTACCAGTTAATAGTAATCATAGGGCAACACCTCTGAAAAAATATAATATTAAATATATTTTTAATGGTAAATGTGACCCATGTGAACTCTAATGGTTCCAAAATACAAAATTCAGGTTGAGTCCCTGCACCTTTATTTATCTAGACAAAAATAGACATTTAATAAGGAGGATTATTTTTTCTATCTCTCCTTAATAGGTTTTCTTTTACTAGCTAAATATAAATGTTTCACACACACACGCACACACACACACACACAAACACATCAAAATTTCATGCCTACAGAATATTGTATCTTGTAGGAAGGCATAATTATTCTTTGAACATCTTTTTTGAAAACTGCTAATTTTCTTCTTTTTTTAAAACTTTTATTTAATGAATATAAATTTCCAAAGTACAGCTTATGGATTATAATGGCTTCCCCTCCCATAACTTCCCTCCCACCCGCAACCCTCCACTTTCCTTTCCTTCCCCCCTTCCATTCACATCAAGATTCATTTTCAATTCTCTTTATATACAAAAGAACAGTTTAGCATATATTAAGTAGAGATTTCAACAGTTTACACCCACATAGAAACACAAAGTGAAAAATACTGTTTGAGTACTCGTTATAGCATTAAATCACAATGTACCGCACATTAAGGGCAGAGATCCTACATGAGGAGTAAGTGCACAGTGACTCCTGTTGTTGACTTAACAAATTGACACTCTTGTTTATGGCATCAATAATCACCCTAAGCTCTTGCCATGAGTGGACAAGGCTATGGAAGCCTTTTGAGTTCACCGAATCTGAACATATTTAGACAAGGTTGTACACAGAGTGGAAGTTCTCTCCTCCCTTCAGAGAAAGGTACCTCCTTCTTTGAAGACCTGTTCTTTCCACTGGGATCTCACTCATAGAGATCTTTCATTTAGGTTTTTTTTTTTTTTTTTTTTTTGCCAGAGTGTCTTGACTTTCCATGCCTGAAATACTCTCATGGGCTTTTCAGCCAGATCCGCATGCCTTAAGGGCTGATTCTGAGGCCAGAGTGCTGTTTAGGACATCTGCCATTCTACGGGTCTGCTGTGTATCTCGCTTCCCATGTTGGATCCTTCTCTCCCTTTTTTATTCTATCAGTTAGTAATAGCAGACACTAGTCTTGTTTATGTGATCCCTTTGGCTCTTAGTCCTATCATTATGATCAATTGTGAATAGAAATTGATCACTTGGACTAGTGAGATGGCATTGGTACATGCCCCCTTGATGGGACTGAGTTGGAATCCCCTGGTATGTTTCTAACTCTACCGTTTGGGGCAAGTCAGCTTGAGCATGTCCCAAATTACACATCTCTTCCCTCTCTTATTCCTACTCTTATATTTAACAGGGATTACTTTTCAGTTAAGTTTCAGCACTTAAGAAGAATTGTGTATTGATTACAGTATTCAACCAAAAGTATTAAGTAGAACAAACAGAAAAATACTAAGAGGGGTAATGTATTAACTTGTTCATCAACAGTCAGGGCAAGGGCTAATCAAGTAACCGTTTCTCATAGTGTTCCTTTCACTTTAACAGGTTTCCTTTTCAGTGCCCGGTTAATTGTCATGGATCAGGGAGAACATACGATATTTTTCCCTTTGGGATTGGCTTATTTCACTCAGCATAATGTTTTCAAATTCCTAACAGGGATCACTTTTCAGTTAAAATTTAAACACCTAAGAATAATTGTGTGTTAATTACAGAGTTCAACCAATAGTACTAGAACAAAAAAAAAATACTAAAATGGATAAAGTATTACATTGTACGTCAACCATCAGGACAAGAGCTGATCAAGTCACCATTTCTCATAGTGTTCATTTCACTTCAACAGGTTTCCCCTTTGATGCTCAGTTAGTTGTAGCTGATCAGGGAGAATATATGATATTTGTCCCCTTGGGACTGGCTTAATTCACTCAGCATAATGTTTTCCAGATTCCTTCATCTTGTTGCAAATGACTGGATTTCATTGTTTTTGACTGCTGTATAGTATTCTATAGAGTACATGTCCCATAATTTCTTTATCCAGGCTAATGTTGATGGGCTTTTCGGTTGGTTCCAGGTCTTAGCTATTGTGAATTGAGATGCAATAAACATTATGGTGCAGGCAGCGTTTGTTGTTAGCCGATTTAATTTCCTTTGGTAAATTCCAAGGAGTGGGATGGCTGGGTTGAATGGCAGGGTTATCTTCAGGTTTCTGAGGAATCTCCAGACTGACTTCCATAGTGGCTTAACCAGTTTGCATTCCCGCCAACAGTGGGTTAGTGTCTCTTTTTCCCCACATCCTCGCCAGCATGCACTGTTGGTAGATGTCCTGTATTTGAGCCATTCTAACCAGGGTGAGGTGACACCTCAGTGTGGTTTTGATTTGCATTCCTGATTGCTAGTGATCTTGAACATTTTTTCATGTGCCTGTTGGCCATTTGGATTTCCTCTTTTGAAACTGTCTATTGAGGTCCTTGGCCCATCTCTTAAGTGGACCTGTTGTCCTGTTGTTGTGGAGTTTCTTGATCTCTTTGTAGATTCTGGTTATCAACCCTTTATCTGTTGCATAGTTTGCAAATAATTTTTCCCATTCTGTCGGTTGACTCTTCTTCACTTTCCTGACTGTTTCTTTTGCAGTACAGAAAGTTCTCAATTTGATGCAATCCCAAATGTTAATTTTGGCTTTGACTGCCTGTGCCTCCCGGGTCTTTTCCAAGAAGCTTTTGTCAGTACATATCTTGCAGGGTTTTTCAAATGCTCTCCAATAATTTGATGGTGTCAGATCATAGATTTAGGTCTTTAATCCATGTTGAGTGAATTTTTGTGTAAGGTGAAAGGTAGGGGTCTTGCTTCATGATTCTGCACGTGGAAATCCAATTTTCCCAGCACATTTTTTAATAGACTGTCCTTACTTCAGGGATTGGTTTTGGATTCTTGATCAAATATAAGTGGGCTGTAGTTTTTTGGATTGATTTCTGGTGTTTCATTCTGTTCCATTGGTCTATCCATCTGTTTCTGTACCAGTACCATGCTGTTTTGATTACAACAGCCCTGTAGTATGTCCTGAAATCTGGTATTGTGATGCCTCCCTTTGTTTTTGTTGTACAAGATTGCTTAGCTATTCGAGGTCTCCTGTGTCTCCATATGAATTTCAGCATCATTTTTTCCATATCTGAGAAGAAGGTCTTTGGTATCTTGATTAGTATTGCATTGAATCTATAAATTGCTTTTGGGAGAATGGACTTTTTAATGATATTGATTCTTCCAATCCATGAGCATGGAAGATTTTTCCATTTCTTGGTATCCTCTTCTATTTCTTTCTTTAAGGTTTTGTAATTTTCATCGTAGAGATCTTTAACGTCCTTGGTTAAGTTTATTCCAAGGTATTTGATTGTTTTTGTAGCTATTGTGAATGGGATTGATCTTAGCAGTTCTTTCTCAGCTGTGGCATTGCTTGTGTGTACAAAGGCTGTTGGTTTTTGTGCATTGATTTTATCCATGCTACATTGCCAAACTCTTCTATGAGTTCCAATATCTCTTAGTAGAGTTCTTTGGGTCCCCTAAATAAAGAATCATGTCATCTACAAAGAGGGATAGTTTGAGTTCTTCCTCCCAATTTGTATCCCTTTATTTCTTTTTCTTGCCTAATAGCTCTGGCTAGAACTTCCAGAACTATATTGAATAGCAGTGGTGAGAGTGGGCATCCCTGTCGGTACCAGATCTCAGTGGAAATGCTTCCAACTTTTCCCCATTCAATAGGATGCTGGCCATGGGATTTTCATAGATTGCTTTGATTATATTGAGGTGTTCCTTCTATACCCAATTTGCTTAGTTTTCATCATGAAAGGGTGTTGTATTTTATCAAATGCTTTCTTGTGTCTATTGAGAAATCATATGGTTTTTCTTCTGCAGTCTGTTAATGTGGTGTATCACATGGATTGTTTTGCACACATTGAACCATCCCTGCATACCAGGGATAAATCCCACTTGGTCTGGGTGGATTTTTTCTGATGTGTTGTTGTATTCTATTGGCCATAATTTTATTGAGGATTTTTGCATCTATGTTCATCAGGGATATTGGTCTGTAATTTTCTTTCAGTGCTGCATCATTCTCTGGCTTAGGGATTAAGGTGATGCTGGCTTCATAGAAAGAATTTGGGAGGATTCCCTCTTTTTTCAATTGTTCTGAATAGTTTGAGAAGAATTGGAGTTAGTTTTTCTTTCAATGTCTGGTAGAATTCAGCAGTGAATCCATCTGGTCCTGGGCTTTTCTTTGTTGGGAAGGACTTTATTACTGTTTCAATTTCTGTCTCAGTATGGTTCTGTTTAGGTTTTCTATGTCTTCCTGGTTCAATTTAGGTAGGTTGCATGTGTCCAGGAATCTATCCATTTCTGATAGGTTTCCCTGCTTGCTGGCATACAAGTCCTTGTAGTAATTTCTGATGATTCTTTTATTTCTGTGGTCTGTTGTTACATTTCCATTTTCATCTCTGATTTTATGGATTTGGGTCTTTTCTCTTCTTTTTTTAGTTAGTTGGGCCAATGGGTGTCAATTTTGTTTATTTTTCAAAACAAACAGCTCCTCATTTGGCTGATTTTGTAATGTTTTTTGGATTCAATCCTGTTGATTTCTCCTCTGATTTTAATTACATCTCTCCTACTAGATTGAGTATGGTTTGCTGCAGATTTTCTAGATCCTTGAGATGCAGTGATAGCTCATCTATTTGGTGCCTTTCCAATTTCTTGATGTAGGCACCTATTGATATGAACTTTCCTCTTAACACTGCTTTTGCTGTATCCCATAAGTTTTGGTATCTTGTGCTGTTACTCTCATTTACTTCCAGAAAACTTTTGATTTATCTTTTAATTTCTTCTATGACCCATTGTTCATTCAAGAGCATGTTGTTCAGTCTCCATGCATTTGCATATGCTCTAGGGATCCTGAGTTGCTAATTTCCAACTTCATTCCCCTATGGTCTGAGAAGCTGCATGGTATGATTCTAATTCTTT